TTGAAATTGACAAAGTTATAGGCTTTGTAAAATAGCAAATCGAGAGTTGCGCCATACAAGGAGGATTTGTTTCTTTGGCGATTCTCGCAAATTTTATTTTATTTGAGCCAGTTTTTCATTTCCAACTTTGCGCAATTTTATTCAATGATTATGTGGTGTGTTTTTAACCTGTATCAGTTTACCTGTGATGTGATGCAAGATGAAATACACAGGCTCACTTCAGCACTCAAACAAATCAGACGTTTTTGCTGTGGTCCTCTCTTCCTGTGTTCCAATAGATTCTTAAATTAAAATTTGCTCAGGTGCTGCAAAATGCCCTTTCACTTGAGATAAATTTAGGCTCTGGAATTTAAGTCAGTCTATTAAAATCACTGCTATGCGCCTCATGCATTTGTCCCAACTTATGTACAGTATTCCCAACCCAATTTCCTTTCAGTGATCTTTGGTCAAGCTGAAGTCTGCCATATGATGAAAAGGAACCCTCTGCCATCCAAGCATTGAAAAATATATTTTATGCCAAAAATCTCACCATATAAAATTTGGTGCAATTCCTTCATGTTTACCACAGCAAAGATGCTTGGTTCTGTAAATCAAACCTCTATAACTTAAAACCTATCCAAGTCCAACTGTTTTGCTGGCCCCTGGAAACTCAGTTCAAACAGGTTTTACTGTATATTCTAAATCCACTTTTCAGTGAAAGATCTCTCTTTGACATTTTCCTCTTTAACCCATTGCGTAAATAAGTTATTAAATGCTTTTTTTGTCTATTAAAATGCTTTCATATTCAAGAAAATGCCTTGACTAATCCAATATATAGAAGAACTCATCATCATTGGTACACACAAAAAGCTCCCAGCTATTTGCCCATTGAAAGAAAGCTGAAGCCATATTGTGTATGGGAGACCTTCTGAGGCATATGTTATCTATATTCGCCATTGATGCATCACCTGTTCCCCACGGTTTTTCCCACATGATACACATTAAGGAACTACGTAGTCTCACATGGAAGAGCAGAGTGTATCAGAATGTAGCCATCATTGCTTGGGCAAAAGGACGTATGCATAAGCGATGGGTCACGTGGCATATATCCCACCTCTTGTCGATCTTATAGATACAGTGGAGAATGGAATGGTGTGATGGATTGGCATGCGTCATTTATTCTGAAAAAAAAAAAATCTGCAAGGTGCGTCTATACGTGTGTATTCGTGATCTCGTTGGAAAAAAGCCTTTGACTTGAAATTCAATGCCCATCAGCAATTTACACGAATTGAACCTAAAATGCTGAATTATCAATGAATTCTGGAATGAAATGTTTCTCAAGAAAATGCTGGAAGTACCAATTATTTATGTTTAGTCCCTCCGACGGAATCTTCAATAGAAAATGTGCAATATTTCCGAATTCAACCAGGTTGATGAAAAATCCCTTAAATTCGAAAAAAAATTCATTCGTTAATCTTCCAGAAATCTGAAATTGATTAGTTCCTCATTGAAAGTATGTCAGTACTATAATACTGAACGGATCCTGATGGCAATTCAAAAAATTGCACACTGTTTCAAAGTTTCACAACACAAACCCAGATGGTTCAGTGCAAAATAAATTATGATTGCAATGCAATTTTCAGTCGGATTTCAGAATGCGAAAATCATGATTTTAGTACTGTATACTTTTTTCTAAAGTTTCAACGGATTATTAATTTATATTTCTTGTTGGCACGTTTTTTTTCAGACTGATCACCCAATTTTTCAACATTTCGGATTGAATTTTGGTCCAAATTTTCTCCAACCAATACAATATTTTCTTCTCATTTGTCGAACCAGGATTTATTTTCTCCATCCGAGATTAAACAATCATTATATCTGTCAAGAAGTTAAAACCTAATTTTGAGGAACAATTTATCACTGAAAATAAGGGTGTTTCCGAACATGGAAAATACATTCTAGCTGCTGACGAGAAGAAGGTTTTCTATAGGGGTCCCTTAATTTTTAATCATTTCCCTGTGAGTAAACAAAATGCATGACATGAAATAATCCATATACATCAGTTGCTATCACGAGGACTGTGAGCAACTTTTGGACATTTGGCATTTCTATCCACCGAGGGGCTTACCCTTCAAAAAAAAAAGGGGTCCATTGACTTGGTGGAATAAAAATCCTTTCATTCCTGGGCTGGCCGCCCTGTTTAAGACGGCCACTGATTTCATCAAATCCCTCAAAAATTTCGCAGCTTTCTGCAGAAGTGCTTGGTTTTTGGGGGACACAGAAATTCGACTGCCTGAAAGTGTTGCTGCTGATGGATTAGACCCAGCTGAGTTGNAATAAAATTGTGGCCCTAGGCAGTGTCCTGTTTGAGGGAATATTCCTTTTTTTTGTGTCTCAGGCGGGCGCGGACCAGTCAAAGACTTTTCTCAGGGCCAGTGACATTAATAATCCCGATTTTCATCGTGACCCTTTTTTTGCCTGGGGTGCAGGGCGAGGGTGGTGGATCGTGGAGACACAATCCAACTTTTGGTATTTTCGTTTCCACCTGTTCACCTTCAGAACATATTTTCCTGCTTTTTTCAGGAATTACTTGAACAAATAATATTTTTTTCTTTAACCTGGGAAAACAATATTTTGAGTCAATTTGGATCCAGCTTGATATTGATATTTTAAAGTCAGGACAATGTTGTCAATCTGCTCTATATACGCCCTACGAATCGAAAACATATGTTGATGAGCCACTTTTGTAATAGGTATTTGCATGGTTTATCTTGAAAAGATGACCCACTGGTACTACATTCGAATTATCAGCATGCAAAAATATGAAGAAAAGTCTTCTATGTCTCTGAAAACAGCCAATTTTGTCTAATTCATAATTGTAAGTAACGTACATGCGATGGCCCGCAAGCTTCAAATGCGTTTATATTTGTAAGATTTGCCTCCAAGAAATTTGAATCTTCCAAGATTTTTCTTCTGTGTTACAAAAAGACGCAATGGATTCACAGGTATGCTCATACAATACGCAGCTTCACTCCAAGTATAGTTTACCTCGTCGCTTTGATATAGCATAGAATAAATAAATTTCTAACGAAAAAAAAGATCACTGTTTCGGAATGATTTGACAGGAGCTACATATTTTCGCTCAGCAGTGCCATTGATGCATCCACATCTTTATTTTTTCCATGTTCAAATAGATGACATCTCGAAGACGGGAAATCGGAAACGATCATCGGCGAATGACTGGAATGAAGACACTTTATACGGAACCCCGGACTACAGCAAAATGACCAAAGATCGGCCGATTCCCTTTTTTGACAATTCAACTTCTCAAGAAGTCTTCGTGGCTGCCGGCACGACTGCAGTCCTTCAATGCAAAGTTCGAAACCTTGGTCAAATGGCTGTAAGTTCATTTTGAAAATTATTCATTCAGAAAAAAATTGTAACAAGAAAACAAATATACTCGTATATCTTGCGTATATATAGAGAAAGATACTTTGAATCGACGGCGAAGCGTGTTTTTGGCTGGCAGCCGAAAAACTTGAACAACGACGCGAGTTATTCCCTTATATATTTGCTTTTTTGTTTTCTTTCTCTCTCTCTCTCTGCGCACTGCCGATTTTCAGCTGTCGTGGTTCCGGAAGAAGGATTATCACATCTTAACATCCGGTCGACATTCCTTCACCAATGATGACAGATTCACGCCACTGCATCAAGAAGGCTCGGATGAATGGCTTTTGCAGATGAAGAATGTGAAGATGGGAGACAACGGAACGTACCAGTGCCAAGTTAGTACTTGGAAATTTAGTTTTCACTGTTGAAATTGTGGAAATGCTTTCATTTTGACAAGAGAATAATTAATGGATTCCCGTGCCATGTGGATGCCATTGGAAGGGGTGGGCCAGGAAATAAATTAGGCCAATTTCCAAACAGAGCAATCTTACAAACGGATTTGTCAAAAAACAATGAAATTCGAGCTATTCCAATTTTCTACAGCGATAAAAGGTAATTTGTAGTAATTTGTTTGCTATAAAAATCTCGGATTATCTAACAATTCTAGAAGTTACATATGAATATAAGTGCTCTGTTCTATATCCAATGGATTGATGATTTATATATTGTACAAGGATCGTCCTAATTATACACAACTGCTTCTGACTTCTGAGTGGCTTATTATATAGAGCAATTAGCTGAGGATAACTTTTCAAATGCCTTATATAATTTCTTGACTGATGATTGAAAAGGATTTTATTGCCTGAGCTCAAGAAATTCCTACAATTCATGAACAATATATTCAGGAGATATGTACTCCACTGAAATTTTTTGTCAACCTCGCGTTTGCAATACTTGCTTTACCTCTTTAGAAATCGTCTCATCGAAAACGGTCAGAGGCAGGATTGCATTTTCCGCTTTCCAAATACCGAAAGAGGACAAATCTTTTTGAATTGGTGTCATGTAGATGGTTCTTGATTTCCAGGTGGCTACACCAAATGGGATTCTTTCAAGAAAAATCGAGCTGACAGTTGTAGTACCAGAAGCTTTCATCCTTGGTGCCAACAAGGATTACCACACTGAAAAGGGAACTTCATTCACCCTGGTGTGCATTGTGGAAAAGGTCAGTTCTTTCTCGTCTTCTTAATTTTTCTTGAAGCAGTTATTAAAATTTTACACGGTTTTGACCTCAAACAAATGGCGAAGAAATTCCACTTGTTTTTTAGAACGCTGTTTTAAAGAAAATTTCGACGTCCATGATGAAAAAAAAAACTGGAATGCGTCACCAATTGAAAATTTATCTGGTGGTGCATTAAAATTTTTTCATGAAGGTATTATGAATTGATGTATTATATTCATGAAAATTCTATCAAAATTTTCATTGGTTTCTCAAGTGAGCCATGTATGAATTTTGAAATTATTTAGGGCATTCCAGATTTGAGGAAAGCAAGCATCATCGTCATTTGAAAGAATCAAAACTTCATCTTTCAATCTAATGATCGAGATTTACAAGCTGATCAAGTGATGGAATTTATCTTTCAAATTATATTTTTGTTCTGCTCCTTGAATGATGGATCAATTGAAAGATTCCACAAAAAAACTCCCGCACATCTTGACGGAAAAATGTCGGATCAAAATACACACTAACAATTTGTCACCCCACGTCATTTTCTTGTCAAATGAGACTTTTGAAAATTTCAGAAATACAGGAACAGAATCCCCATTCATTTTTGTAACATCAGCCTCTTGAATGGGGAAAATTACCCGAAATTCATAAAATGATCATTTGAACGAGTCCTACTGAAGAAAACAGAGAAATCTTGAATATTTCCAAGTAATTCGAATGCAGTGTCCGTCAGATTACGCAAAAAAATAGGCTTGATGGATTGGCATTGTATGAAGCAATGCAAATTCTACTTGGATTAGAGATGTGAAACTGACGAATCTTTGGAAAACACCCGGACGAGAATGTAGCTTACAATTTCCATTGGAAAATTCAAGATGCGGTGAAGGGAAAACGAGTCACAATGTATATATGCATTCTTCATGCCTTTTGACGAATTAATAATAAGCCGCTGCTCGCGTGAGCTAATTTTGCTATCTTGTTCTAAGTGCTGGATTATTCCAGCATTGAAAGCATTTGAATGGATCAATTGAACCATAAAGTCAGTTAAATTCTACACACGGAATTTTTATTTACAAAGCCACTGAACGCTGTTTTTTCCCACCATTCAGTGATGATTATATCTTCCAAACGTTAATCATGCGCGGTGAAATAAAATTTTTTCTATATTTATACGAAGATATAATACTCACATGTATTTTTCCACCTAAAGAAATCGCTAATTTCTGCTTGAAATGCAGAATTTAGGATTCCTATATTGATTGAATGCTAACTTGTACACACCATAGGACTAAATTGGAAGGTTTGCTAACATTTTCACTTTTCTTCTTTGGCTCATCTGAATATACCTTGGTTTAGGCCACTCTGCTCAGGTGTCATTTGGTTCACCTTTTTGCCAGACACTATGTCAATTTCAAAAATATACTTCTGAACTGAAGACGTATCTTTAGTTGTGTACAAATGATGAAGGATCATTTTACTTGATATTCCAAAAATTTAGTGAGAAGATTTCATTCCTATAGCCCAGTGTTTCCCAAACTTTTCACACTGGCAAATTTCCAAAAAAAGTTTTGCAGATTGGCAAAATTTCCAAAAATGTTCTGCAGACTGGCAAAGTTTCAAAGAATTTTTGCAGACTCAAAAGAGTTTTGCAGGAAAGACTTAATGGCAATTATTTAAAAAGTTTCTACTTTCTGTGAAAATGAAGTACAAATGAAGCAGCTACAGTGGAATTTCTTTTTTTAATTATAAAGGGGGGCTTGAGAAACATTTCTCATAATGACTAGATTACGTTAATTAATTTCAGCTGGTTAACATCTGTCCAAGTGTTAGTATAGGAGAAAAGCCAATGTTTACGTTTCCATCAGCTAATTTCACCTGCCATTATCTTTCCAAAATTTCAGACAAAAAACAGAATTTATTGCTACATTTGATAAATTGAGTTTGCTGCAGAATTCTTTCATATGGTCTGGCAAAAAACGTCTGCAGACTGGCACCGGTCCATGGACCATTGGTCGGGGAACACTGAATTACCTGGTTGTCAGTAAAATATTCCTCAGATAGGTCTACAAAATAGTGCAGAGGTATATTATGGGTCCACAAAGATTTACCAACAAGTAAATCTAATACAGGTACAAGCAGAGCAAATGAGTGAGTAACAAAAGAGAACCCAGTCCTTGATAGACTTGACAGGACAGACAGTTGGGCTATTGGTCCAAGTCAGATCTGACCTCCTTCATTCTACATCATCTCATTGGCTCTAACCATGATTATGGAATATAAATTGCAAGAAATACTGCAGCTGCCTTCAGATATAGTCTGCTGCTGATATAAATTTAATCGGAATTGATGACAAAAATACCTTTGGTAAAACCAGAGCACAGCACTTGGCTGCAAATAACATCCTGGAACCACCATCCAACAAAATTTCCCATCCCCTTCCCCACTGATGGAGGGTCAAACATTAAATGTTGGAACCAAGTATAAAGTGCACAAAAGCTTCAAAAAGCATTTTAAAATTTTTGTAACCACCTATATGACACCCCCCCCCCCCTCCCCATGGTTTCCTTTCCAGTTAAAATAGAGTGAACATGATACTTGAATAATATTAAGCATTGAATTTTATAAGCTCCTCACAAAAACCCAGCATCGAGATGTTTCACAGAGGCCAACATATGTCATCACCTAACATGACGCTGAAGTCACGGTGTATTCCGAACCCCCCATAATATAACAGTTATACCCCCACAGCGCCGACAGCGGATCAGGAAGTGAGAATTACCCCACGTCCGGGCGGGAAACTGCTTCTGTGCTGGTCGCAGTATTCCGCACTGCTTGCCACAGTGCCATGTGGATGCCATTGGAAGGGGTGGGCCAGGAAATAAATTAGGCCAATTTCCAAACAGAGTAATCTTACAAACGGATTTGTCAAAAAACAATGAAATTCGAGCTATTCCAATTTTCTACAGCAATAAAAGGTAATTTGCATTAATTGGTTTGCTATAAAATTCTCGGATTACAGAACAATTCTAGAAGTTATACATGAAAATAAGTGCTCTATTTTATATCCAATGGATTGATGATTTATATATACTGTACAAGCATTGTCCTAATTACACAACTGCTTCTGACTTCTGAGTGGCTTATCATAGAGCAATTAGCTGAGGATAATTTTTCAAATGCCTTATATAATTTTCTTGAATGATGATTGAAATGGATTTTATTGCCTGAGCTGAAGAAATGCCTACAATTCATGAACAATATATTCAGAAGATATATACTCTACTGAAATTTTTTTCAACCTCGCGTTTGCAATACTTGCTTTACCTCTTTCGAAATCGTCTTGAAAACGGTCAGAGGCAGGATTGAATTTTCCGCTTTCCAAATACCGAAAGAGGACAAATCTTTTTGAATTGGTGTCATGTAAACGGTTCTTGATTTCCAGGTGGCTACACCAAATGGGATTCTTTCAAGAAAAATCGAGCTGACAGTTGTAATACCAGAAGCTTTCATCCTTGGTGCCAACAAGGATTACCACACTGAAAAGGGAACTTCATTCACCCTGGTGTGCATAGTGGAAAAGGTCAGTTTTTTCTCCTCTTTTTAATTTTTTCGAAGCAGTCATTGCAATGTTACACGGATTTGACCTCAAACAAACGGCGGAGAAAATCCTCTTGTTTTGTAGAACGCTGTTTTTTAATACAGTAGGACGTCCATGATGAAAAAAAAACTGGGATGAGTCACCAATTGGAAATTTATCTGGTGGTGCATTAAAATTTTTTCATGAAGATATTATGAATTGATGTATTATATACATGAAAATTCTATCAGAATTTTCGTGGGGTTCTTATGTGAGCCATGTATGAATTTTTAAATTATTTAGTGCATCGCAGTTCCAGGAAAGCAAGCATAATTTTAAAAATCAAACCTTCATATTTAGAAATCAAATGATCGAGATTTCCCAGCTGATCAATTGAAGGAATTTATCTCTCAAATAAAATTTGTGTTCGGATTACAATTCCTTGAAGGATGGATCAATTGAAAGAATCCACAAAAAACTGCGCATCTTGTCGGAAAAATGTCGGATTGAAATACTAACAATTTGTCATGTTATTGTCAAGTGAAACTTTTGAACATTTCTGAACTTACGGAACAGATTTTCCATTCATTTTTGTTACATCAGCATCTTGAAAGGGGAGAGGTGACCGATATTGATCAAATGGTCATTTAAACGAGCCCTAATTAAGGAAACGGAGATATCTTGAAATAACTGCAAGTGCAGTAATTCGAAAGCAGTGTCCGTCAGATTACGCAAAAAAATAGGCCTGATGGAGTGGAATTATAGGAAGCAATGCTAATTCTGCTTGAATTAACGACGTGAAACCCCTGAATCTTTCGAAAACACACGGACGAAAATATGGCTTACAATTTCCGTCGGAAAATTTAAGATGCGGTGAAGGGAATTAAAGTGAGTCACAATGTATATATGCATTCTTCATGCCTTTTGATGAATTAATAATAAGCCGCTGCTCGCGTGAGCTAATTTTGCTATCTTGTTCTAAGTGCTCGGTTTTTCCAGCATTGTAAGCATTTGGATGGATCAATTGAACCATAAAGTCAGTTGAATTCTACACACGGAATTTTTATTTACAAAGCCACTGAACGCTGTTTTTTCTCACCACTCAGTGATGATTATATCTTCCAAGCTTTATTAATGTGCAATGAAATAAAATTGTTTTCACATTTTACATGGATATTTCCATGGGTCCATTGGATCCCAGACAAAGCAATTGCATTGTGCAGCCATCCGAATGCAAGTTTTGAATAAGAACTCAAACTCTTTCCAGAGGAGTTCATTCTCATTGCCCAGTTCATCAATTGGCTGTTAATTCAATGGCTGTAATGGCAGAGTCAATTGTAAGATTTGTTTGTTAGCTCAGAATATTGAATGAGGTATTTAAAGTTAAAAGGCCCTTTAACACTAGGTTAGCACTTCTTCTCTTAAAGAGGAAGGAAGGTTTTTTTACCCAGGTGCTTGGACTGGTTCAGAAAGAAATCAGGTGATTTCTTCCTGGCTCAGGATTGGCCGATTTTAGGAAAATTGAAGAAGTGATGACCACTTCTTGCCCTTGGGTGAGGCTCAGTGAGTCTCACAAAAACAGGATTTTTGCAAGGCTCACTGGCCTCAGAAATGCAACCAGTTTTCTTGTCTGGTTGCTGCCAGATGCTGGAGCTGCGTCGCTGCAGCACATGATACTTGAGTAATATTAAGCAGTGGATTTTATAAGGCCCTCACAAAAACCCAGAAGATGTTTCCCAGAGGCCAATATATGACATAACCTAACATCATGCTGAAGTCATGGTGTATTTCGAACCCCCCATAATATAACAGTTATACCCCCACAGCGCCGACAGCGGATCAGGAAGTGAGAATTACCCCACGTCCGGGCGGGAAACTGCTTCTGTGCTGGTCGCAGTATTCCGCACTGCTTGCCACACAACTGTATGGTTTGTCGCTGCTGCTGTGGGGGTGTATATAAAGGCGGTCGAGCCACGACCACGACGACGACGTCGAGGAAAGGAAAGGAAACCCCCGGAAGGAAGGAACCGAGAAATTACTTTTCCTCGCCACCGCCGCCTCGAAAAGCGCGCTTTGATGTGTGAGTCGCGACGACGAGGCGGTTGTATTTCAAGGCCTATAGGGACTCTGAAGACGACGAACGAGTAAAGCCTATATGTGCAGTTACAGTTGGCTGTTCCGTTTTCTAGCTAGATGCTCCTGCAATTCGCGTCGCATAGCAGCAGCGAAAACCCGCGGCCCAGTTTTCGGGTTGCATGCAGCAAGTGGGGAGGGGGTGATGGGTTGAGAGAGAGAGGGAAACCCGGGTGCCTCTGGAATTAATTCTCGCCAACCCCATTGGGGCCCTACTCCAGAGAAAAAGGCAACGGTGCGTGGCCCGAGGCGGCAACGAAGAAGCTGGTCCTTGTCGACACTACGCTGCTGACGTCGTGTGTCGGTTGCGAATTATATGCCCACGTTTTCTTTTCACTCCCAGCCTCCCCTGAGAAGTGAAGGAAGGAAAAACTCGGGAAATTGACTTTTCCTTCACCCTCATCCTTGAATAAAATTGAAAAAAAAATAATTTGCTGACTTATAAGTTACAGTGTATATTAGGGACCCCTAGAGGCCGCCCGATACATAAATTAACACCACACGCCACCAACACCAAAAACGAACATTCCCAACACACTTCTGATTCTAAAGACTCACTGACCATGGAAACCAGTCTGCCAAAAAACTGGATTTCCTCCCAACTCAAAACCTGGAAACACCAAAGACTTCACTCTGTTTCCTGACTCTGTGCTATTCGTTTTGAAAGTGCTGATTCTGGAATTGAAATCCTTTTTCTTTCAATATTCTGTGAAATCCAAATCACAACTGTTCCTGGAGACTGAGTCTTGGCCGCAAATGGTCTATTGTGCATTACCTTTATTTCTGTGAATTTTTTTCTGCATTAGACCTAAGGGTCTTTGACAATGTAAACTGAGTCACTGACGTTCGGCTGTGAAGAAAAAAAGAAAGGGAAGAACCATTGTCACCTGCGAGCCAAAAACTACCCAAAATTATAATCGCCATTATGTTTCTGTATAGTACTGTACCAAGTTGTACTTGATAATCAGCAGATGAAAAATATACATGATCTGCTCAAGATGAATATCCCATAGAGAATAAAGACGACCCTTCTCATTTACCCCTTTGGCGGTGGTGCCAGGATACTTTTGCAGGAATTTCACGCGAGAGGTTTTTAAATTTAAAAATATTGCACTGGCCAATGTAGCCCAATTGGGGGGAATTTCCATATTTTTTCTGCCTGCACAGAAAATGTTTGCAAGAGCACAAAAAAAGTGGTACCCATGGTTGGTTTATTTCCATCTTCAGCCAGAGGAGGAACTTGGAAAGTCTGCTGGTCTTTTCCAATGATCCTCCCTGCCTGGCTTATCCGAATATTTTCTGGCGTGGGGCACTTTGACTAAGTGCCATTTTGATGACCTTTGATCAAACTAAAAAGAGCCAGCCCTATAAAAAAAATCCCAGGACCACCATCACCAAATGGAAATTAAACCTCTGCTGCTTTAATGATGAGGGTTTATAATATTTTCTTCGAAAATCACCTTTTTTTATAGATGAAGTGTTTTGAAAAGCATGATTTCATGAACCTATTCTCAGTAAAATTGAGTTCTTCGAGTATCAAATTTTCAAATCAGAATTGGACAAAATTGGATGAAATCTAGAGCACGGCCGGAAGCAACGCCATGATTTACTTGCTACGCAACCTTTTTTTTTCTTTTCCTTGCGAAAAACTTTCGGGCATTTTTATGAGCATATTTGAATTGTCTTCAGCAACCCTTATACAGTATTCAGAATATTTCACTTCATATATTTTTACCCGAATCTTGTGAATGTATGATCCATAAAATAAGAAGAAATGTTAGTCATTTGGAATGTTTGGAAAAATTCAAAGCCCGCTAGGAAAATAAACGACGTGAAAATATTTTAGGGCTTGACAAATGTAATGTCGTCAAATTATCAAATTCTATCGTACCTTCCATTGCTGCAAATATACCTCTCTTTTTTTCATATATTTCCATCTGCTTGTTTAGAAATTTTACCGTTGCAAAATTTCGTCGAATTCAACTGTGAAGGGATACAGATTTGGCGAGATACAGCCGAGAATTATTATCCAACACTCACACATGCTAGTAAGAAAAGGTTTGTTTCCATTTTTCACATCCATTTTTTCATGCTTGACATCAAAATTACAGATTTTTTTGGAGAGAGGGAACCTTAAATTCAATTCGAAAATATGAATTACTCTAAACTTCGGTGCATTTGTACCAACGCGTTTGGAAAAAGAACACGAATGTTGCCGAGATTCTGTTGTGCACTTTTCGAGCGAAGGAAATGTGTGCATTGAACCTCAAAATATTCGAAGTTATCGCCTCCATTCACATACTGGCTTTGATTCATGTACCAATCGTTTCAGAGGTGAATGACTAGCCTATGAATAAGGTCGAACCAGCAGTTCAACCACGGAGATTTCAGACAAATCCCTCTCAACAATATGTTGTCTATGCAGAGGGCTCATTTCGGAGAACATATTCTTTATACCTCGGCCAGAGAAAGAAAATGATGACCCACGCTAGAAAGTTCCGAGATAAAAAAAGTAGATAAAATAAAAGAGAAAAGGCTATGGAGTCTCCCATCCATTCATAAGCCCACAATGCGACTTCCTCCCATTTGCCGTTTCTTTTCTGTCGGAGTAACCTTCAGCTGCAGATTTGTTGCAAAAGA